GTTACCTGTAGTACGCGTGTGTTACTTGTCTTGGAATGAGTGTATGTCAATGTTACCTGTAGTACACGTGTGTTACTTGTCTTAGGAATGAGTGTATGTCAATGTTACCTGTAGTACGCGTGTGTTGCTTGACTTAGGAATGAGTGTATGTCAATGTTACCAGTAGTACGCGTGTGTTACTTGCAGTAAACGTATCACACCTGTAATAGCGTATTTACCTGTAGTATGCGTGCGTTGCTTACAGTGGATGTATATTACTTGTAAGAGTGAATGTTACGCGTAATAAGCGTACTAGGACATCTGCCATTTTTCCATATCCGCGGCTCTAACGTAGTCGATTTTTCTCGACTTTAATGCATACGTTTTCTGAGACACTAATAAATTTCACTTACCCAGACCTCTTGAACGGTTGGCGGTCTCATCGTAACCATATTTACGTTTCTTAACATATGTATGTTCTGCGTATGCGTATTCAGGCCCCAAAACGGTCACATTCTGAACTAAAGCTCACCCGCATGCATACGTTCTCTAAAACGTTTGTACGGTTTGCGTTCCAAATAAAAAAATTACATACATGTATATGTAAATATGTAATAATAATAAAATACAAGTACATATGTAAATATTTTTTGTAATGTGCGCAGGTTGCTGAAACGGTCGCAGTCTCAGACTAACCCAACCGCTCGTGGCATGTCACTGAAGAAACCCGCCAGTCCCACCGCCAAAGCCCTGACCGCTGCGAAAGCCAAAGCCAGTACCACCGGCAGCCTGAATCTGGACAAACCGCTCCAAACCATACACGCCAAATCGGGAAAGGATGATAGCAAACCTGCCAGTTTAAACCTCAAAACCCAAAAGGTTCGGCCCGTTTCTGACCCAGAACCAGGTGCACAGACACCACAACCACACGCTGCGATTGCCGCGTCCATCTCCACCCTACAACCGACGGTGCACGGATACTTCCTCATCGCAATGCATCGAGTGTGTGACATGCCGGTGAGTGGTATCGACAGCATACATGCGTATAGGGATAGGTGTATGTGTGTAGGTTTGCGTGTGTATGGATGGGTGTATGTAGGTTTGTATATATGTGTACCAGTAGGATCATGCATATATGTATATGCGTAGACGTATGCATTCGTGTTGTTTTAGTTTGATCATGGATATATGTATATACGTAAATGTATGCTTTCGCGTTGCTTTATCACGATTATGCATATATGTATATACGTAAATGTATGCATCTGTGTTGCTTTATTATGATTATGCATATATGTATATACGTAAATATATGCATCAGTGTTGTTTTAGTTTGATTTGTGATATTTGTAAAGGTGTGTGGTAAACAGTCTATCTGTGTATCTATAGACTGTATGTTATTGGTAGAGACACTTAAGATGACGACAGTCAGACGGACATCTATATTTCTTGCTATAAAACTGGGTTAGATGATGCATAAATTGATAGGTGGCATCCTATAGCAGCCTTGTATCACAAACGCATATATATATATATATCTATACATACTGACATACTGACATACATACTTACTTACAAACATACAAACATACATACATACATACATACATACATACATACATACATACATACATGCATACATACATACATACATACATACATACATACATACATACATACATACATACAT